AACACTGAACAGCAGTACTGGCATACATCCAATACATTTCACCTCTGCCAAGACCCTCACTATATTTTTGGATCTAGTTCTAACATTGGATCATTCCATTTGGTTATGGGGCCATTTTCCAACATTTCTACTGGTCAAACATGCACTCGCATTGCTGTTTTCTTCATCATCTGAATCAAGGAGATCTGCAGGCCCTGTGTCTGTATCAGTTGATTCTTGCTCCAGTTCACTGTCACAGGAACTTTGGTTCACATGACCAATGTCAAAGTCCTCCTCCTCATCATCAGCATCAGCATCAGCAGCAGCTGCAGCAGCATACACCTACACCACACTTCTATTATGAAAACATGTATTTTTCCATACTGGATCATCTTCATCATCCGTGCATGAGTAATTTGATGAATCACTTTTGACCTCCTCCAAAACTTGCAAATCTGGTTCTTCATGTGTCATTGTACTGAATTGGGCTAGTTCTATCAGAAAAATCAAAACTAAACTTTTTATTTTTTTTTTAACAAATCCTGGGTTGGTGTGGATCTATTGGACCCTCTATGATGCTTGGATAAACCTATGCAAAACCAGTTAGAGCATAACGTGGGTAAAAATCCCACTTTGGCACCTTTGCACATGTGCACACACCTTATCGTTAGTTATATCAAATAGGTAAACACATAGATTGCTTCCTGTATCCCTCAGGGAAAGGTACTGAGATGTGCAGCTGGCTACTCTTATGCTAAAGTAAAAATTTACAGTAGAAAAGTAAGGGAAGAGTCCACCGGACCCAGTATCATCAGTATCATGCTCAGCAGGCTAATGGCAAAGGCTGTCCGGGAAGTTCCTGCCAGGCCAAGTCCATAAGCAGAAGATTCTTGAACCACTGAATGGCTGCTAAGTTGACACACCTGCTTTGAATAACAATTTGCCCTTGCCTCTGGATTTCCAGGTGCTCACTTTTATTGCTTTCCGAAGCATGAAATTTGAACCTGAGTTTTCCCTGATGTCAGATTAGCAAAATCACCTCCACAGTGGCCTTTTTAAATCAAGCAGCTATTTCTGGCAGTTACTTCATGTTTTAAGAGCCCATTAGAACTCTATAGAGAGTTTTCTAAAAAAGCAGGGAAAGGAGTGTGAGACATTTAAAATTTCAACTGGTCATCTCTCTATTAAAATATTAGGTGTAGACTGGCTTACATACATTCTTGGGTTAGAAAACACACTTCTGATGATAGAATAATGAGTCTTTTAGGCCAGAGATGGCGCTTCTGTGTCTATTTTTCACAGAAACCGAAGGTCTACAGTGTGGGAGGAGGGGTAAGACAGTTCTTAGTGGTGCAAGGGGCCTGCTAGTTCTATAGTATGAGGTCATTTTGCTCCATTGCAGAGCATACCTTAAGCCTTGTAAACTTCTAGCCTGCTTACTGAACAGGAGTAATTACAATCAAAACACCACAAAGATGGAGAGTTTACTTGGGACCTCATTTTACCAAGGCTGAAATGTAAAGCAAATACAATAAAACTCTACTTGCCTGCAAACCCCTTGCCTGGCCTAAGGTGCAATTACCTGATTAGTCCTGGCAAATCTTCATATGTACAAATTTGGTTTCAAGGCCACTCATCAGAGACAGCTAACTACTTTGTGTAAACACTGCCTTTGCTACACAGAATCCAGTGCCGAGACCGCTCTGCAGGTCTGCTGTGGGTGTGCATGTAGGAAGCAAGTAGCTCAGGGTAATATGCCATGGAGCCAGAAGCACACAAACAGTGCTGCAGGCCCATTTCTGTGTAGAAAAGCATGACCTGGGGCCATTATTATAGTTCTAGCCTGTCAAAAAACATTCTTGCAGAAAATCAAAAGCATTTTTGGCCCTTCATAAAGATTTTATCTTAAATCAATAGATGTCTAAGATTTTTATATCTGTCTATGAATCAATAACACTGGCTTTTAAAATGTTTTAATAATGTTTGGTCATTTGGATAATTGTGTAAAACATTATGGCCAGTGATGCTCTGTCATCTGTTTGTTGAGTTTGGCCATTTCATTTTGCAGCTAAAAAAATTAAAATTCAGGGAAACTTGGGTCTGTTCAGGTAACACAAAGCAGCCATGCTCAATTTCAGATCAATTGCCTCATGTCAAATGCTCTGCTCACTAACCAGGGCTGCCTCTCATAATAAAACTATAATGTAATTTGTATAGGATTTTATTGGTCTGCAAACTGAAACTGAGAACCATGTAATGGATGCAACTGGAAATTGAGACTACAAATGTGGCTTTCCCTATTCTATATTCATTTGTTCCTGTTGGAGAATCCACCTTAGCCCTTTCCTTATGACTTCCCAAAGAAAGAGAGAATTACATAAGTTATTTAGGCATGAGTATCTTAACTGCACTCCAAACCTGTAGGATCCAATGCAATAGCCACCAGCCATATGGCTATTTAAACTTAAATGAAATAGAAGTTTTAAAATTGGCTCTTTCATTTACACTGGCCACATTTCAAATGCTTAGTAGTGCATGACTGGTCCTCACTCTACCGGCTTCACAGGAAGTAGAACATTTCCACTATCATAGAACAGTCTATAAGCTTGTGTTGCTCTACCATCAGGAAATGAAATTTTGTGCTTTTCTTTCTCTGACTTATGCTCTTCTTGGAAATGTTTTCCAGAGTTTCCAGTGACCTGCAAAAAATATTCCTGAGAAAATCCTGGCTTTTGTTCCCAAGTCACAACCTTGATACATTTGCTTGTGTACACATCATGTGTACAGGACTTCAGCTTTTCATGTTCATATCAATACTTCTATCTCATAAAAACAAACAAGCAAGCACACTTCCATTGTATCAGATTCCTAGTGAGGAATTAGATACTGTGCTTTACTAGAAACACCTTTAGACCACTAAGTAAAATGGCCTTACTTTCATTTTTTATTTCTAGAAAAAAATCAGTGAATTTAAACAGGTATTTGGAGAGTTGTCCATTTGAGCTCAGTATTTTTATGAACTGTGGGATCATGAAAAACTAAATTTTTATGTTAATTTTACTATTAAACCACAAAATCCAATGAGAATATGTTGTCTTTAATATTACATATTGCAAATATCAGATGTTCCCAGCTGCATCTTACATTGACATTTGTAGGTAACAAATGGTTAAAAGTATTTATGCTTCTAGAACTGCACAGTTGTGAAGATCTGGTTCTCTGACAACTAGAAATGTGTTTGATCTCTCAGGTTTAAGAAGAGAAAATAATTCCCTTGTGCTCTGATCTACTAAAGTAAGTCTTTTGTAAGGTAAGGGAAATTAAGATAATGACAAAAATAACATGAGAACTGCCAGGACTCTGGAGCATAAGAAAAACATAAAAAAAATTAAATATAGTTATTTGGTAGAGGAAATGATGAAAAATTTCCTCCTTGAAGGCAGCCTGCATAGTGATTAAGAGGGAAGGCTCCAAAGTCCATCCTATTGCCTGCATTCCAAAAGTCCGTTTCACAATTTTTTAAGTGTGTGACTTTGAGGAATTTAATTAGTCCTTCCTGAGGCAAGTCTAAAGTAGTCTTTCTAACAAGGCTGCCACTGTGAATGGCCATATTTATGAAATAATCCCATTAGGAATTGAATTATATCCTCCTTGAAAAAGTATGTGTTTAGTCTTAACCCCTAGTGTCACTATGTTTGTAGAAAGGGACTTCAGGGCAGTAATTAGGGTTGAATGAGATCATAAGGGTAAGGTCCTAATCCAGTGTACCTAGTGTCCTTATAAGAAGAACAAATACTAGACCTCTGCCATTCCTTCTATTCATCTCTGTGTACACAGGGAAGGTGTCATGTAAGGACCTGGTGATAAATTGACCATCCACAGGTCAGAAAGAAAAAACTCATCAGACACCAACACCCTTGGCAGCACCTTGATTTAGGACTTCTAGCCTTCAGAACTCTGGAATAATATAATTTTGCTGTTTTAGCCATTAAGCCAATGGTACTTTGTTATGCCATCGGTAGCCAATATATATCCCCAAACTGATTTTCCATTTATTAGAGCCTGCATGCCTTTGAATCCTAGTTTTCAGCCCTTGCTTCATTTTCCTTTATCTCTATTCCATCTATCCAGTTTACTATCTATAAAGCAACACTTCCTTCTTGTGGTTCTGGATCACCTATGATACAGAGCTGCTATACTTAATTACAGGTCTCTAGTATTTTTTTCCTTAATAGCAACAAGTATTTTTCCTCCTGTTTGACAGAATATCTTGGGTGGATGTCTTGATAAATTGGACCTCTTCTCTCAGTGCAGCTACCCTCTTTCTATGCATTGCTGAAGTATTGTCCCATCTGGATGGGTATCAGCCCAACATTCCGTCTCTTCCTGAGGACTAGCAGGGGCTCTGTCTAATTCACCTCTTGTCCCTTTGCCTGGCCTAAACTCGAATGCAATAGATGTTCACTGAAACAAAGATGTTCAAAGTAGATCGGTCTATTGTACCTTAAAGAGAAATTAATATGTTCATCCTAGGCACTCTGTATAGTAGAAGTCACTTAGAACATTATCCTTCCAACAAGAGCCTAAAATTTATTCAGGGATGTAGTTGAAAAGTATGTTACAAGAGCAGATATATTTCTGGATTCCATACACTAGTTTCCAAAAAACTGGCCTTATGTATTTATCAACAGCTTGCTAAGAAGGAATATCTCCACCATAACACTAAAACTTGTTTACATGTTTATGCTATAGGAGATTCAGGACCAGCCACAAAGAAAATCTGGTTCCCAGGAGATAAGTTGAATTTGTGAATGTAGCGGAGGGAATATAGTTAGTCTTCCTGGCACCAAAGAGGGAAAGGGTAAGAAACAAAAATATTCTTATTAATGTCAGTGAGACTGGACAAATCACTGGGGCACAATGGTCTTAAATTGATAATGTCAGTTATTATTTATTAAAATTGTCATTTATTAAAATATATAATTTACTAAAGACAATGACTTTTCCTTGGTAATTTGTGAATGGCCAGTGGAGGTGGAGGTGAGTTAATTAGTTCTGAGTTCCTGACTGCTGAGACTGATTCTAGGAAGTGATTCACCTTTGCTAGGTGAAAGGGTTCGGGAGCCTCCCAGCGAGACTAAAAAATGTAGGTCAAGATATGTAAAGAGACAACCCATTGGTGGAAAGGACAATGGGTGTAAAAGGAAGAGGTCACTGAGCAAGGGAATAGTCAAGCAAATTTAATCAGTGATCCAGGACTTGGAAGATGGGATTACGCATTGTCTTTAAGAAATTTGGCATAAAATTAAAGAAAAACATAAGAAAACCAAACATGTTTCATACAACTCATTACAAAGTCCATCCAGTTTTTCTTATTATCTACTACAGATAACTTTCTTACCATGTCTTGTTCCATTCAGACTCAGCCTGAGAACTCTCCTCATCCCTCCTTTTCCACTCCCATCCACACAAGGTGTCCTGGTCACACAGAAAGAATGGCAGAGAGGTGAGGGAAAAGGATGTTGTCACCATCATGAGAAGATTCGTTTGATTGCTACAGCATGGTGTAACTGTATTTCCACAGCAGTTTACTTCATGGCAGGATAAAGCAAAAGATGCAAGTTTTATGTGGGGGCTGTCCGTGGGTTATTTGGTCAAAGGCATATTCAGTTAGCCAAAACTGAGCAGCTGACACTGAACAAGACCAGAGTTGAGATAAAAGAGATACACTCTCCTTGACTGCAAAACTTGTAAGGTGCCAAAGAAGTCTATAATCAAGGGAAATATTTATAATTTAATATAATATTTAAAAAACATAATGAGAAAATTCACAAGAAACAACATATTAAAATTTTAAATAAAGAGAAGATAGTATTGTTTGCTTTGTGACATGGTTTTTGTGTAATGGAGAATAATTTTTAACCAGCCCATGGCTTGTGGACCCTGTGACATTTTTGTCCCACACAGGTTCCTAACTGATAGGTTTATGAGGTTGACAATGAGTGGGAACAGATGATGCAGAGTATAGCTTTATATATGATCATCTTTTTAGATTGTAAAGCTTTCAGTTTCTTCTCTTACTTGATTCAAAATATGTAAGAGTGTTTTGGTAAGTATATGAATGGGCAGAGCTACAACAGCAGATATCTCTACCTCAGAGCTGACAGATTAAGAGCCAGGGCAGGGAACAGGAATCTGGACATTTAACATGAAAATGCCAGTGATAATCTTTGTGACTTAGGTGCTGAAATGAAGGTGAAATGAATGGCAGCAGGAAAGCCCCTTTGGAACCCCACCCCTCTGTCCTTGAAAATTCCTCTTCCAATGCTTCACATGAAAAGTTCTGTCTTACGTATCGTTCAAGGTTTTAGCAAGAACAGATGGCAATAATTAGTAAATGGTTGGAAATAGAAAACGAGGATTCAGAAGTCAGGGATTGAAACTGCAGGAAAGGAAAACACACTTTCCAGGGAAAAGAGGATACAGGAAGAAGGATAGAAAAGTGGTGATTTATCCTCATCCTTGATGTCTGGAATGTTTGAAGAGATGTGAGGCAGATGGTAGAATGAACTATCAGTTAAAGTAAGTAAGTTCTGATATGATTCCCATTTTACAGGTAAGGAGGCTGAGGCAGAAAGTATCTACGTCGCCTGTGAAAATCTTGCAGCCAGATTGACAGTAGAGCCTGGCATTTGGTGGCTGGAGACGTGGACTGTCAGGAGCACCAGTAGGCTGGTCAGGATGGCCGAGAGTGGAAAGCAGTCACTGGGGCCAGGAATCCAAGGACACTGTGCAGAGCCGTGGCCACAGTGTGGAAGGTGGAGTGGCCACACGCAGGGCCAAAGTCAGAGGAGGGCAATACAAGAACAGGTGAGGCTCAGCTTAACCACTGCCTTCAGGAAAAGGAAGAGAAGCTTTCCATGGGGACTCCGGCTTACTTCTAAATCTCATCTTTTCCCAGATACTTTTATACCATGAAATTAACAGCAATTATTTAGCTATTTACATGCCAGTATTGGTCATAATATGCAATACTGTCTCTTTGTACACCGGATATGGGATAACAAAGTGGCTAAGAGGATAGACTGCCTGTTCAAATGAGGCTCAGAGCTTGGATGTTTATCCTTCTGCCTGGAGTTCGGGTGGTTAAACATTTCTTCATTCTGCAGTACTCTCATCTATGTGGCTTAACCACACAGAGTGGTCATGAACATTTATTTAGCTAATATATATAAAATGCTTAAAAGAATGGTAAATGATAGCTCTTGGTGTTGCTTTTGAGCAACCCATGAATATAATTCATCCCTTCCATTACTCGGTCATACCCACTCCTCCTACCTGGAATAACTTCACAATGGGAGACAAGTGATGGTTATTGGAAATGTGGATGAGAGTAAAGAATAAAACATATCTGGGCTAGGGATTTAGGTCAGTGGTTCCGCTGCCTGCCTTGAAAGCACAAGGTCCTAAGTTTGATCCCTGGTACCAAAAAAAAAAAAAAAAAAAAAAAAAAAAAAAAAAAAAAGAATAAAACATATCATCACCAGCTAGCATGAATTTCAGCCACATGTAAGATAGAAATCATATGTGAGCTGGTTCTTGAGCCACTTAATGACTTTCACCATCTGAGCTCTTCTTCAGGACCCTCTGAAGAAGAAGTCCCTGTATAGGCTTCCAAGATGCTAACAGTCAGCTGAAGGTTCTTGCTTAATTCATATAGAGATCATGAATTGGCAGAATGCAACTCTTTTAGTGTTGACAGCCCTTGTTTTTGGTTGCCAGCAACTATGAGCTTTTTTAAATGTCAATGGCCATCCTTGCTGCTTGAAGCCAGCTGTTGGCAGCTGCCCTTGGGAACTCTTCCAGCCAATGGACATGGTGGCTCCCAAACATTTGTCATTGTTCTCCATAGTTCTCTGGCTGCTTGATGCCATCAGTGTTACCAGCTGTGGCTGTTGGCTGCTGTCAGTGTCAGTGGCCTTGGAGTTGACAGCTCAGTGTGCTCTACTAAAGATAGAAATCACGCATGTGCAAAGATTTGCCATCCAGAAAGGCTTTGTTAGTATTTATGCTGCAGCATAAGGTGAAACAGTGCACAGGCTGAACTTGCAAAAGGTATAGTTTGGCAGTTAAGTTTGATTGTGTCAATGTAATTGGTTTGCAAGATTCCCAAGGGATCAGTAAAACACAATTCTGGGTGTGTCTGCATGTATCTGGGTGGGGCATAGAAGCATGACCTTGGATACTATGTGTAGTCCTTTCCCCTTCCTCTTTGACACTATTCCCTATTCTGCTCCCTACTCTCCATGAACTAAGCAGCTGTGCTCTTCTACCATGATGCTCCTGCCTTGGAGCCAGCAGACTACAGACTGAATCTTTAGAACATGTGAGTGAAATAAATTTCTCCTTTTTTAAGTTATTTATTTTAAGCATGTCAGGTATTGTGTCAAGAGACAGGAACATTGGCTAGTACATATAGGGAGGTTGCTTAACAAGGAAAAAAGGAAGCACAGGCTCCTATGAGCAAAGTATTAGACTTTCTGTTTGGTCATGGGTAGGAAGGGGCCCTTCGCTGACCTTACTGAGGATGGCTGCAGAAAGGCTGCAGGGTGTGGTCATCCGGGATAAGTCCACAACTAAAGCTGGCTACAGCCAGAGCAAGCATCTCCTGTGTACCTCAGGCAGCTGGGCTGCCTGAAAGGCCTTTGAGGCACTGATGAAAGAAAAATAGAAGGTACTACTGGGGAAGCAAGAGGCTCTTCTCTCCTGTCTCAGTATTATCATGATGTTCAGTAAGATTCAGATAAAAATCATAGATGATGTTAAAAGGGGAAAAAACCAGAATTTGTTATTAGAATTAAAAAAGGCACTGGATTTGGAAATGTCATATTCATAAGTCATCATATGTGCATTTGATTAAGACTGTGAAACTGGACAAAGGAACACAGAGCAACATTTCTCTTCTGGTTTGTGGAGAGAGAGAGAGAGAGAGAGAGCATCCTATTACTACACACCATGTTTGACGTTTTGCTATTTCTGTGGAGTATTATATGTAGTGTGTGCATAATCATAGTAGCTTGGAGTTTTAGGTAAGAGATCATATACATATATGTATGTGTCCTTATGTTTTATTTTTACTTAACTCTATGGCATCTTTTTTCAATGTTATGTAGTTATGGGAAAACAACACTGAAATACTGTATAACAATTCATAATATGGATATGTCATTTCCCTATTATTAGACTTGAAGTTATTCTTAGATTTTTGCTAACATACATAAAGTTGCAAGGAACATCTTCAAATGTACAGTTTTCTCTTATTTTTGATAAAGTTTTTGTGCTAGATTCTCAGAGTTATCAGATCTGCTTCATGCTGTGGCCAGTAGTGCCCAGGAGGTTATTGACAACCTGAGCAATATTTCTGGCTCCAGGGCAGAGACAAAGATAGTGAGCTTGTAGGAAGTGGTTTTCACCAGTGCACTTACCTACCTGCTCACTGGCAGAGTTTCTCCGGCAGGGCTCAAATTGGTGTACCAGGGAGAGTCTCACAGGGATTTTAATGGTCACTGGGCTGAGCATCATCTGACAGCCTCATACTTCCAAAGTTTGAACCTTATGCATCCTTGCCTTTGATTTTTCTCCCAAGGACAGACAGCTAGAAAACCTATGTATTCTTCAGCTTTAAATGCAGTTTGTTGCTTTGTTGTCTTTTGGTTGCTTTTGTGTCACTCCTGAGCTCTATTATGTTCATCGATGCTCATTTTTTCTATAACCATCCTCTCTGCAACACTGTGAGGTTCTTTTACCTGGTCCTGTGGATATTCAATGTCAGGAAAGTGGGTTATATCCCACTAGGGGCCACCCTCCCATCTACCCCCAAAAATCCTGTCCAGAGGTTGAAGAAAAGGCCCTAAGTCAGTTTTCTTTTGGAATTAGCTTACCTTTCATGTGCCTCTTCTGAGCTTACTGAACCATGTAAGACTCCTCCAGTTCCTCTTCTTGAGTGATGTCCACTTAAGAACTTCTGGAACCTTCCCTCTGTCCTTTTTGCAACTGATGGACAATAGCACCTGCAGTCTGAATGGAGATTGTGTCTTTTGTTATTCAGTAACAAATACCAATGATAATGTTAGTTATTCTCTTCTCTGTCTTAGAAATTCTTTGAAGAGAATTTTGATATAGGTGACTCTTAAAATGTGATCAAAGAATTGAGAGCCTGGTAGATTAATGAATGGGAAAGTCTCGAATTATGGACATAATTGTTTATGTTCATAACCACCCTAAAACTCTATGTTTGTGTGTAAAAATATAATTTAAAATTCAACAACCCACAACACTAACACAAGATATTAATAAGAGGGGAAACTGACAATAGCGAGAGGGAAACTCTCTGTGTTTTCTACTTAATTTTCTATAGACCTTAAACTGCCCTAAATATAAAGTCTATTAATTTTTTTAAAAGTTCAACAACTGAACCAAGTAGACATTTTCATTTCCATTTTACAAATGGAGCATCAGAGACTCAGAACAATGCTCAGTGAAAACTGTAAAGACTCCCGATCTCTACCTGTTCCTTTATTCCCTGTGAAAGGAGAAGACAAAGACTAATTACACTTTTGCTTCACATTCTTCTTTGAGTTTCCTGAAAGAATTTGTCTTCCAGTCTTAAGGAAAGCAACAAGCAAACCTTCAGCAGAGTTGACATTTGGGCCCACGTCAGAGTCGTACAAACCAAGGGAATGGGATCTCCTCATGTCTGTTCTTCCAGGGATAACAAAACTTTTAGAGACAAGTGCCCAAACTGCAACCTAAAACCCACTTCTTTATTGTGAAGTGCCAACACAGTAGTTAAACCTGAACACTAAGGTTTTAGCTAAGAAAAAACAATTCATATAACCGTCACCTTATCCCAAAGCTGCGGCACACGGGCCACAGGTTCACTATCACAACACTAGAGTCTCTTCCTAGTCTCAGTTGGTACTAAACAACTGAAATTAAGTGGCTCTACCTTTGGTCTCTAGAGATTTCCTTGTGCAAAGAATAAAGAAAACCATTCTCTCAGACTAAGGGTATAATCAGGAGTGACTCCAGCATCTTTGTTAACAAGAACACCATTCCTTGATGTGGTGTCCAGGGAGGTCCAGAAAGAATGTGAGAGCCTGCAACATTTTTAGCAGACATCTGGCACTCAAGAAAAGACCATTTCTGCAGACAATTGGCTTCTCTTTCAGCTTGGTAACCATGGACACCAGCCAGAATGATTTTGGACCATATCCGTCTTTTCTGAATTCTTCTAAAGGGTGAGGGAGAGAAAAGAAAAATTCCTCCCCTGTTTTTGGTAAATTAAATTAAAACAAATATACTTATATAGGTTGAAAATCCTTGGATAAGTAAAAAGCTCTGGTTGTATGGATAGAAAGCCAACTATTTGATAAAAATGAAAAAAAAAACACGGACAAACACAAAATCTTTTTTTACTCTTTAAAATGAGTTGAGACCTCATAGTTCTGAAGCCAGGGCACACAACTTTAGCTTACCTTCTCTGGTCTGGCACCTTCCTCCTGCTGGCAGTAGGTTTGGCTTGTATAGTGAGATTCTGAAGAGAGGTCTGAGTTTGATTAACTGTGCCTTTATGAATAACATCCTCAGAGAATTCCAAGCTATGTTGAGGTTCCTGACAGCTGCAGCCACGAAATCTTGCTGTATGGTGAAGCTGTTTCTTACAGCAGAAGAGTCTGACGGGCCATAATTCTTCCAGCTTGTAGCAGTCATCACCTTTTTTTTTTGCAAGGTGATGGCACATTTTGCTCACTGCTCAACTGATTTGTCACTATACTGAGAAGC